CCTATCTTATTTATAGCCGATTGGCATACTTATAGCCGATTAGTATATATCAAAATTTGACCTATCTTATTTATAACCGATTGACGTCCGATTAGAATAGTTGCACTGTTTCTTAGGGACAATAGTATTATCGTTCTTTAAGGACGATAATATTATCATTCCTAAGGTATGATGCATTTATCGTTCCTTAGGAACGATGGTATTATCGTACTTAAGGAATAACGATTTTATCATTCCTAAGATACGATGCATTTATCGTACTTAAGAAACAATTGTTTTATTATTCCTAAGGCACGATAGTTTTATCGTTCCTTAGGAACGATAGTATTATCATACCTAAGGAATGATGGTTTTATCGTTCCTAAGATACAATGCATTTATCGTTCCTTAGGGATGGTTTTATCGTTTCTTAGGAACAATGGTATTATCGTTCCTTAGGAATGATGGAATTATCGTTTCTAAGGTACAATGCATTTATCGTTCTTTTGGGACGATGGTATTATCGTTCCTAAGGTATGATGCATTTATCGTTCCTAAGACACGATAGTTTTATTATACCTAAGGAACGATTGTTTTATCATTCTTTAGGTACGATGCATTTATTGTTCCTAAGGCACAATGGTTTTATTATTTCTAAGGCACGATGGTTTATCGTTCCTTAGGGACGATGCATTTATCATTCCTTAGAAATGATGGTATTATCGTTCCTAAGGTACGATGCATTTATCGTTCCTTATGGATGGTTTTATTGTTCCTTAGAGACGATGGTATTATCATTTATCGTTTCTAAGAATCGAACTTTCAGATTTAACCGATTGCTAAAATAATATTGATTTAATGTGTACTATTTAAGTTTATTTCTAGTATATAGGAATATTTATATAAATAAGCTTAATTTTTTAACTTTTTAAAAGATAATTTCCAATTATTTCCAAATTTCTTCTTTTTACATTCCACCAAAATCCCAAAAAAAAATCGTCTCAAGAACAAAAAGACCTTAAGTTGAATTTTAGTCAATTTTCATCTTCAACTATCAAAATTGGACGAAGAAAAAGCTGTATTTTAGTCAACTTTTCAAAAATAAACTGATTTTTTTTACTTTTTATAATAGAAACATACCTTTGACCATCAAAATCAGACGAAACTTAAGTTGAATTTTTCTGATTTTTTTACTTTTTATAATAGAAACATGCCTTCAACCATCAAATCGGACAAAACTTAAGTTGAATTTTAGATGATTTTTCTGATTTTTTTTTACTTTTTATAATAGAAACATGCCTTTAACTATCAAATCAGACGAAACTTAAGTTGAATTTTTTGTAATTTTTCTGATTTTTCATTCTTTTTTTTTGAGAATGGAAATAATACTATAATGAATATTTAGGATTATTTAAGGGGATTTTAGGAGGAAAATGAATTATATTTTTATTATTTACATAGTTTTTCCATTTTTTACTTATATTTTTTAGATAGAAAATTAATTAGTTGAGTTTTGGTAATATTTATATTATATTTTTGCGAATTATATTAGGTTTTATTATTAATAAAATTATAATATTTAATAAATTTAATAAATATAATATATCGATTTTATATACTTATTTGACTGAATTGATACCAAATTGAGGCCAATTTTAGGCTGATTTATGGTTATTTAAATTCTGAATTGATGCTGAATGATGCTGAATTGAGATCAATTTTAGGCTGATTTATGGTTATTTAAGTTCCAAATTGATGCTAAATTATGCTGAATTGAGGTTAATTTTAAGCCGATTTATGTTATTTAAGTTTGAATTAATGCCAAATGATACTGAATTAAGGTCAATTTTAGGCTGAATAACCATATCGATCAGCGTTTATTGGCATCTGAATTGTTATTGAATTGAGGCCAGTTTAAGGCTGATTTATGGTTGAATTTAAGTTTTGAATGGTCATGTCTGATTAGGGTCGATCAGCATCTATCAGCACCTGTTTGTGCTGATCAAAAAATATTGCAAATTGGCCGTAAATAGTATCAAAATCGGCCTAAAATCAGCTATCTGATTTTTAGTTGATTTGGACTATTTCGACTAGTGTATGATATTGTTAGAGAACTTCATTTTTAATAGAAATAATCTCGTCAGAAAGAAGTACAAGTTTGTTATCAATGTCATCTATCCTGGCTATTAAAGAGTGGATAGTATTGAATGTATTAAAAGAAATATTAGGGTTCCTGTTAGTATTTCCTTTAAGAGGTAATGGTGTATTATTAATGTTTGGCTTGGATTTAACAGCATTAGCATAAGAGAAATTGTTTTAAAATTTTGAATTTTGATGAGGATGAGAAGGTCTATATTTTTCAGGTTTTAAAGTGTTCATAAAGAGGCTTATAGGGATTAACAGAGCCTCTTTAAGAGCAATCTTTGATTTCGTGATCAGGTGATCTACATTTTCTACAATGTTTATCTGCAGGATCCATCTAGTATAAAACATTTCCTTTGAATTTATGATGTTGAATAACAGCAGTGTCTAAATCTTCTGTGATAGCAAAATTAACGAATGCATAAGGTCTTAGACGGTATTATTGATCTCTTAAAATAAAGCATGATTTAGCTTTAATTTGAGTTAAGAATTCTTGTAAGGAACGTTGATCAGTGTTTAATAGAAGGCCAGTAAGTTTGAGCTCAAATTGTTGACATAATGTAATTTGCATTAGGTTAAGGTCAGTAGGTTCTATTCTTAAAGCGAATTCTAAAAAGAAAACAGACCAAATGTCTTTATAAAATTGTTTGATAGCGTTATTGTTTTCATATACAATAAATGCAATTTGCCAGGGTCCCCTAACAATCATAGAAATTCGGGTAATTGTTTCAAATTTGGTAAAAAAATTTTATATAGCTTCAGACTTAAAGAAAAGGGGAATGTCTAAAACTTTAATGGTATGACCTTTTTCAGCATCTAATTTTAATTGTTTAGCGCTAAGATCAGCAATTAGGAAGATTGTTTTATATTGTATCTCCTGTACTTTTGTGACAGCATGTGTAAGATTATCTAAACTGTCAAAATAAATGATGAATTTTCTATTTTTAGAAAGATAGTTTAATTCTTGAAAACTATTAAAGTAAATGAAGAGTGCATTTATAAAATTTCGTTTTTTAGTTATAGATTTTCCTTTTATATCTGCCACATTGTCAGTGGTGTAAAATCTGATAGACGCAGTAATAATATTGAATTGTCGATCGTTTGCATTCTTGCTATTGAAAGTAGAAGCTTCAGCTTCGTCTATTTCTTCTGACCAAGTTTGTTTATTTTTTCCTTTAGAAGTAGAAGAAGTTTTGATAATTTTGATTTATCAGTGTTGTTTGTTTGTTTTACATGTATAGAGTCCTTTGTAGTTTGGAGAGGGACGTTATAAACTTTTTCCATTAGAGTTAGAAGTCAAGAAAGTAACGTGTCTATTTCTATGTCAAGAATATTGTTGTATTTTCTTTTTCAATGTTAAAAGGTGTTTGGTTGTTGTTATCAGTGAACAAGATAATATTTTCAATAACTTTATTAATAACTTTTGGAGAAGAAGTTTTCATAGTTTCTGTAGTTATTTTTTGTTTTTTATTATTTGTATTAGAAGTTTCTAATAAAGTTTGTTTGTTTATCTCTATAAGAAAGCTAGTAAAATGTCTGGCACTGTTTTTTTGTTGAGTTCTTTTATTATTTTTAGAACATAAAAAGTGTTTTTAATATAATTATTTGCTCTGGTTTCTGGAATGATAGCTGTAGGTGAGAGTTAGTATCTATTCTTATCCAAATCTAATCATTCGATTCAGAAATATTTGATAATAACTGAAAGCAATTATTTTGAAATTCATCACAGAAGAATTTTTACCAGGTGTGAATACCAGAACTGAAGCAAAAGGAACTATCCAAAAAGTAATGATTCCTTCCAAACACTAATTTCACCATCTGGAAATCTAATGAGGGTGAGAAAATTGTATATAATATGTAAGAAAATAGGATAATCTATAAGTGTTCAAAATCAATTATTTAAACTGCGAATTCTTGAAATCCTTGAAATGATACACCCATGTGATCTAAAGGCTATAGAAATGCCAATCCAAGATAACCAGATTCAGCAGTAAAAGAACTTCAATATAAGTTAATATTTATCAAATTAGATCACTAGAAGCTGAAATAGCTTTGAAAGTTGGTAAGATCTCGAGCGGATCTAAAATCAATTTTGGAGAAAGTATTCATGAGCAAATATTGAATTAATTTTCTGGTGATGCCAAGGACTATTACCTATAAGAATTGAAAAAATTGACCATTATTATGTAAAAATATAAAGTTACCTAATAAAGTCTTAAAATACAAATTCTTATCTTAATCATCTATAACCAAATTATAACCAGATCATAACCTGAACTTTATCTTAATATAATCTAAATATAATCTAAATATAATCTGAATTTAATATAATTCACCCTAATTTAATCTAAACCTTAATTAATAACAATTTAATTACAACCTAATTCAATTCAATCATTCTAATCTGATTTTAATCTAAAACAACTCCAATTTCAATTCCAACCCAACCTAACTAACCTAACTTATCTTAGAATTTGTTATAACTTTACCTTTTTTATCACAAAGCGATCCCAGGGTATCGCCCGGGTAGAATTGCTAGTATTGGCATATCCTTATTAGTAAATTCAAGAAATCAAAAGTAAATCACGCATTTGTATGCTTTGAATCACGTGATGACCTTAATCACTTTATGAAACAGAATATCACTCTCAACAATCAAAAACTATTCACCCTTTCACCTAATCAAAAAACTTGCTCAATTTGTTCAAGTCCTCATCACTTTAGAAGATCCTGTACTCAAATTAAAGAATGGCCTAACCTAGGGAATAATTAGTACTCTGTAAAAGTCGGGTCGGGTCGGGTTTGAAGCATATTTGAACTCGAACCCATTAATAATTATAGAACCTGAGATTCGACTCGACCCAATCATTGTTCGATTCGGATTCGACTCGATAAACCCAGGACAACCCAGAAACGACTCGAATTTTAGGGTAATATTAACTCCGAAATAAAAAAGCATGTATGTAGTTTATTTTACAGCATTTTAAAATTGTATATTTTATTATTTATTTGTTGACATTAATTACTAACTATTTTTTTACATATTTTTCCACCAGGATTTCAAACACATACAGGCGCGAATTGTATTAGTTTTAAGCATCTTTTAGTCGATATTAGATCGGTTCTGCCAGAAAAACTCGTTCTACCGGGACACTTGTTGCTTTATTAAAAAAGTTTTTGTTAATGTTAAATAACCAATATATATTTTTTTTTTACCTGTAATCGCAAGATAATCTCTAGCCATTATGGCTAAATGTGAATATTCGAAACTTATGTTCTGATGGAAGAACTTTCTCTTCAAAAAGTTCTTTGACAAATAGTTCACTCTGCAATCGTATTTTAGAACTTGCGGTAACGTCTATATTGGTAATGTCTATAGTTTTACTCATTGCATATTATTTGTTTACAAATTCAAGTTGCATGATGTAAATTATTCTAGCGCGTAATTTATATTGCGAAACATTAGATCACTAATCATCCGGATCACCCAGGTCAAGGAAAACGTGACCCTGACCTGACGGTTTTATCGAATTAGGACTCGTGTCATAAAAATGATAAACCTGACTCGAGAAAAAACTTGAGTCAGCTCGTACAACCCGGGTCGACTCGACCGGCTCGGAGCACTAGGTATAATAGAGTTAAGACTGACAATTTGGTTAATAATGAAGATTCTCTATCAGATTCTGATGACGAATTAGAATTTGAACTTCCACCACCAACTGAAACATCTGTCCCTGATACTCCTCTTATTACAGAGGATAGGACTCTTATTTTTAGTACACTACATAAGATGTGGCATCTCCTGGAAGAAATATTTAAATATTTTAAAACATACGTCGATAAAGGTTTCTCCTATATCGCTGAAACTGTAGACAACGTTCTCCTCCAGATTCAGATGGCGAATTTGATAATTCAGCTGAACAAATTCTATTCGATCAACTAAAATACCTTCCTCAAGATTTTTATAGTCTTCTGCGTCATTGTCACTGGTTTTTCAGAAGAGTTCATCACCAATACCACTATTCTCATAAAAGTGAAAAGATCTTTGATCTCTTTACATTTTCCATTCCAGTTAATTAGTTAATTAATTAACCATCATTCTTTTTTTATAGAACCAACTTAGGCATAAATAATTTCTCTTCAACATAGCATAAAATTTGTTTTTGTCTTTTGTTTTATCTTGTTTGTTAATCCTGAAATATGATATTCTTCACTTAGGTTAAGATTGATTTTGGGGATCTTCTTCTAATTAATCATAGATTAGTTAGTCCGAGATTTTGTAATTTCTTTGAATTGTATTTTATATAATTTATTTTATATTTTTTATATTTTATTTTGTATAATTTACTATCTTCAATAAAGTTTTCGCGAATTTACTGCACCTTTAAAAAAAAAAAAAAAAAAGAAAGAAAAAATTTAAATTATAAAAGAAATGAAAGAAAAATAAATAAAAAAGAAATAAAAAAAAATGAAAAAATAAAAAAATAAAAAACAAGTAAATAAGAAAAAAGTAAATAGAAATAAAATGAAAAAGAAAAAAATTGTTAAAAGATATAACGAAAGATTACAAAAATAAACAAAAAAAATAAAATTAAAACTAAACTAAAAAATGAAATAAATAAAAATAAATAAAAACGAAAAATAGAAAAAGAAAGAAAAAGAAAAAGATAAAAAAAAATATTAAAAAGAAAAGATATTAAATAGAAAAAATTAAAAAAAAATAAAGAATATTTAAAAAATAAAATAAAAAAAACAATAAAAAAACTAACAATAAAAACGAAAAAAAAAAATAAAAAAATTAAAAAAAAATTATAAATCGATTGAAAAAAGAAAAAAATATTAAAAATCTAAAAGAAACACCGGGGGGAGGAGATTTAATAAAAAAAATAGAAAAAATGCCGAGGGGAAATTTAAAAAATAATAAAAATTACCTGGGGGGGTGGAGGAATTAATAACGATATATTAATTATTCGTCCCCTTCCCCCCGTTATTATTTTTTTACTTTCTATTTTTTTTTGTTTTTCTATTTCGTTTTTGTATATTAAATATTTTTTAATTTTTATTCGTCTATATTTTTTTTGTTTTTCTATTTAGTTTTATGTATATACTAGCAATTCTACCTGGGCAATGCCCTGGGATCACTTCGCAATGAAAAAAGGTTAAGTTTTAAAATTCTAAGATAAGTTAAGTTTCGTTTGGTTAGGTTGGAATGAAAATTGAGTTGATTTGGGTTGAAAATGGAGTT